CCCCACCCCCACCCCCCACCCCCACCCCCACCCCCACCCCCCCCACCCCTCACCCACCCCCACCCCCAAACCCCACCCCCACCCCCCACCCCTCCCCCTACCCCCTCCCCCACCCCCACCCCCACCCCACCCCCACCCCTAACCCTCCCCTAACCCTACCTACCCTAACCCTCCCCCACCCCCTAACCCAACCCCTAACCCACCCACCCCAACCCCAAACCCTCACCCACCCTAACCCTACCCTCCTAACCCTACCCCTAACCCACACCCTACCCCTCACCCTAACCCCAACCCACCCCAACACCCAACCCCTACACCCTAACCCCTACCCCCTACCCCTAACCCTCACCCCTAACCCTAACCCTAACCCTCAACCCTAACCCCTACCCAAACCCAACCCTAACCCTACCCCCTAACCCTAACCCTAAACCCTAACCCCTAACCCTAAACCCTAACCCTAACCCTACCCCTAACCCTAACCCCCTAACCCTAACCCTAACCCTAACCCTAACCCTAACCCTAACCCTAACCCTAACCCTAACCCTAACCCTAACCCTAACCCTAACCCTAACCCTAACCCTAACCCTAACCCCTAACCCTAACCCTAACCCTAACCCTAACCCAAACCCTAACCCTAACCCTAACCCCTAACCCTAACCCTAACCCTAACCCTAACCCTAACCCTAACCCTAACCCTAACCCTAACCCTAACCCTAACCCTAACCCCTAACCCCTAACCCTAACCCCTAACCCTAACCCCTAACCCCTAACCCCTAACCCTAACCCCTAACCCTAACCCTAACCCCTAACCCCTAACCCTAACCCTAACCCCTAACCCCTAACCCTAACCCCTAACCCTAACCCCTAACCCTAACCCCTAACCCCTAACCCCTAACCCCTAACCCTAACCCTAACCCTAAACCCTAACCTTAACCCTAACCCTAACCCTAACCCTAACCCTAAACCCTAACCCTAACCCTAACCCTAAACCCTAACCCTAGTCCTTACCCCATAACCCATACTCCATACTCTATAGCCCTTACCCCATAACCCATACCCCATACTCTATAGCCCTTACCCCATAGCCCTTACCCCATAACCCATACCCCAAACCCTGTACCCCATACCCCATACCCTGTACCCTGTATCCTGTACCCCTTATACCCTGTATACCCTGTATACTCTGTATACCTTGTATAACCTGTATACCTTGTATACCCTGTATACCCTGTATACCCTGTATACCCTGTATACCCTGTATACCCTGTATACCCTGTATACCCTGTATACCCTGTATACCCTGTATACCCTGTATACCCTGTATACCCCTGTATACCCTGTATACCCTGTATACCCTGTATACCCTGTATACCCTATACCCTATACCTCATACCGTAACTCTAACCCATACTAACACGTAATCTTACCTACCTGATACTTTAACTCAAAGTCGAATTAAAAAACTATAAACCTGATATACTGCATCGCTTGGTTTCGCTAGAATAATTGATTTTATCGATTGTTTAACGTATTTGTGAGGAGCTTCGATAGGAAATTGAATTTCCCTGTTCTGTCAGTCGATAATTAATTGAGGGATCGATCTTGGGTTAAGGTTAGTAACTAAGCACCTTTACTTGTTTCGACTTTTTAAAATTTGATAATGTCATTAAACATTAAACATTTTGGTTTTGCCAAAGGATACTTTTATATTTGAATTAGTCGGGTGATCCTACAATATTTTAATTTTGGACTCGAGTATATTTGCGTTAAACTGAATGTTCTGAGGCAGGCGTAGGGACCAAATAGGGGGCTCGAAAATTGTCGTCAAATTTATTTAAATATTTAAAAAAAGCTATTTATAATTGTATTTTTTAACCATCGTCAAAGCGAAGTTCTACTTCCCTACAATCAAAACACGCTGTCGCCGGCAAAATTATTTGTAAAAAAAAAAAGTCCATAGCTCCAGAAGCCGCTAGATATGTAGTGGGCTTTCATGATGTCCGGTACTTCGCTGCGGCATTGGTTCGGGTTACGGTTAGGGGCCCGAAATCCATTGTACATTTTTCAATGTTAATACGTATTTGTGATATTGGTAGAACTTCTATCCTAGATTATCTTGTACTATCCTGTATCCTAAAAGTATTTAAAGATAATATAATACTAGAAACTTCGGTTTTATATACATTTTTACAAGCTTTTATTTAACTTGCTTCCTCGTCAGTCTGTCTGTCTGTCTGTCTGGATCGAAACGGCCGTGTGAAATTGCAGGCACTTCTAACTAACAGATAAGGTTCGTAATTGGTACGTGGGTCAAGACATGAAGACAATGCATCGTGACATTCAATTTGACTTAATTGGTCGCCTAATTAATTTTTAATGAATTAATTAAAATTTAAACAGAATTAATAGGCAGTTCTATCCACACGCGTCATCGCGGCCGTGTTGGGCGTGGGGCGAGCGGGCTCTACGTCAAAAGCGCGTCATCACGTTCAATAGGCGCGCGATGGTTTTTAGTCGGGTCAGCAGTCTAGTTCTTTACCACTAGACTGCGCCATCCCATAATGCTTTACTGAAACAAGCTATAAACTTGACAATGGTTTTTAGTCATGTAACTATTGTAAATAAAACATATAAAGTACTAAAAAAATTCATAAAAAAACGTTTTAATAACAAGCTTTTATGTAATAATGCACTAAAAAGTAGAAAATAAATGATACACTATTATTTAAATAACTATAAAGAAAAGCGTGGGTCTCTTCTCAAATATTAGTAAAGGTATCCAATAGGTACTTAAATGACCCACGCTTTTCTTTATAGTTATTTAAATAGTAGTGTATCATTTATTTTCTACTTTTTAGTGCATTATTATTACTTTTACAAGAATTGTCATAGGGTCTTTACTTTGAATTATCTCCCCTGAGTAAGTTTTATTATTAACGATGCTGACGTACATAGGCGCTGTGTTGTCTCTTTCAAGCTTTTCCCGAGCCGACCCCAATCCCACCCCTCTATCTTAGTCTCACAAGCATCGAAAAGATAAATGTATCGTTTATGAACTACTTCATAACCGTACATTCACCACTTCAGAACATTTTGTCAGATACTAGACAGCAAAAGTCAGCCGATATTAATTTTTTTTATAGTATTAGGTGCATCTAAGTCACAAAACAGGGAAGGTAAGATTATTTTTTATAAAATCATATGGAAATTAATTAGAATGGTTAGAATTAATTGAACATTATTAATAGTCAATTACTACTTGGTGTCATTTGTAGATGCCCCCCCCCCCCCCAATCAGGTTATCCGACTCGTGAGCTGGCGACATTCAGTTGTACATATGAAAAACATATGCATTACTACGAAATTCATCTGATCACCATGAAAAGTTGGGAAGCTGTACAGTCCCGCGAAGGTTTCTGTCATAGGCATAACATTTGTTTACATATTGGAGTGGCGACGCCCCATGGAAATATGTGATTTAGCGCCCCAAGATCCTCAGTGGCTATCTTTGCACCTGGAATCCACTTATTGTGTGTACTGCATAGGGGATATATATATATATATATATATATATATATATATATATATATATATATATATATATATATATATATATATATATATATATATATATATATATATATATATATATATATATATATATATATATATATATACATAGGATATATATATATATATATATATATATATATATATATATATATATATATATATATATATATATATATATATATATCCTACTAAACAGAGATAAAACCAAACTTTAGCCTAAATCAAACAGGCCAAAATTTGAAATTTATTATGCCAGCACAACATGAGCAGGAAGGCGCCACGAACCATGCCCTACTTTATGTTCACCCCCAACAGTCAGAGTGCTATCAATTGACCATTCTTCTTATGCAAGCACCATATCCACGGGCCTCAGTCGACACGATAACATTATGGCAATGTTGACAAAGCTACATATCAGGACGTCAATTTTTTTTTATTGATTACAGTCTAACATAAAACAGCAGGCTATACTTAGGATTGTCTTCACATCAGCATGTTTTATATAGAGCGTGGGTTAGTTCTTCAATCATTGAGTTGTGGAATGGCTAAATAGTGCTGGAGAGTTGATGTATTAGTGTTATGTCTGATTAGGGTTGGCAGTGGCGTAGCGAGGTCGGGTATCACCCGGTGCGGCACTTAATGGTGTTACCCCCCAGAGGCGTAGCGATCCTTCCCGGGGACAAACTTTTAATTTTCGATTTGCACCCCCCCTCAATCTTTCGATTTGAACCACCCCCCTCAAACTTTCGATTTGCACCTCCACCCTCAAACTTTCGATTTGCACCTCCCCCCCCCCCCCCCCAAACTTTCGATTTGCACCTCTTAAAACACTATTTAACACTCGAATTAATCACTTCATTAAGTGGAATTATCATTTTCTCTCTATATTTTTTGCCTTGGTGTCACCCCCCCCCCCTAACTGGTGTCACCCGGTGCGGTCTGTCTGTATGTCTGTCTGTCTGTCCGTCTGTCTGTCTGTCTGTCTGTCTATCCGTCTGTCCGTCTGTCTGTCTCTCTGTCTCTCTGTCTGTCCGTATGTCTGTGTGCATGCATACGGGCGTGACACACCTTGAGTGACACACCTTGAATCACCAGGTAAAATAAAGGATCGATACCTTGAATCACCAGGTAACATACAGAATCGATACCTAACCAAACAGCGGGAATCCCCAGATTTATTGATCAGATCAACTGAAAACTCTTGAATTTATGCATCTGGGTTACGCTAATAGCCAAATACACACTTTATACGAACATCCACACAGCATCCACACACATACACACACACACACACACACATATATATATATATATATATATATATATATATATATATATATATATATATATATATATATATATATATATATATATATATATATATATTCTCTAAAACATTATTACACACATCCAATAGCATACACAAAGACGCATTTACAGACAGACACACACACTAACAAGACGAATGAAGTATCACGTGGCATACTGTGATTCTATTGGCTCTCACAGTTCACCGACGTCAATTGGGTTGATCGTGTCGGTGTATGGATTAGGTGACGTTACATTGGTCTTTCGTTCACAAGTTTCAAAACAGATTTTTCATGTGTGGGATAGATTTGGTCTACACTGTTTGAAAACACGGCCACTTGGATATGCAAATACTTTTCAATATTCAAATAAAAAAACAGCTGGTAAGATTGTAAGTTTCAATAATGGGCTAGGTAGGAAAAAAATCTCACCAGTCGTGTCTAGGGTTCATGTAAGGCCTCTCTAAAATAGATCTAGTACAGAATAAAATATTCACTTTTGTAGCGGAGTTCGTTCCACTTCAAAATAGCACATGAGAATACCAGCTTCATTAATAACGAGTCTCATGCCGACGGAAAGAACTCCAAAAAAATTTTATAAGTTTATAATGCTTCTTCTCGGTGAAGTTTGAATTTTTAAGACTATAATATACTCAATATTATAGACTCACTAGACAAACCGTTATCATTAGATTACTGTGGGTTTCGGGGGTCATCCATAAATGACATCACGTCTGTCACTTATCATCACAACATAACCAGACCCCACATTTTTTTGTCTTTTAAAAACACTGACTTCGCCTGAGCATGGGTCTGACAACATAATCTTTTCATATGCTGAGGTCACAAAAACAGGTCAACTTTACTTCACCTGCTCAGAGTCCTCCCAACTCAGACATGTTTTTGTCTGTGAAAACACAGATTTTGACTGAGCGTGGGTCTGACCACACTTTCTCTTCATATTCTGACGTCACAGGTGAACTTTACACCTACCCAACACTACTTCACCTGCCCAGTGTTCCGCCAAGTCTCAGACAACATGTTTTATCTTTTAAAAAAAAAGATTCCGGCCGAGAATGGCTCTGACCACACTATCCACGTTATATACTGAGGACAAAGAAACAGGTGAACTCTACTTCACCTGCCCTGTATCCCGCTAAGTTCCAATAGGCAAAGGCAACATTATCATTCACAATTAAAAACAAGAAAAAAAAAAAAACCACTGGCACGTCTTGAACCCATGCCACCCGCATGGTAACCTAATGTGCAAACCTCTTAACTATCTAGCCTCGTTCTCAGGAGAAGTTAATAACTTATATATTTTACCTCTAAGCTGTGTAATGATCTACGCGAATCAGTCCTAGAATTAGATCTAGAATTTTTTCAAATTTAATTTTATCTTAAATTAGCCAACTGCAACAGAGATTTCTATAAAATAATTATGGCCTGAAATAGTTTAGTATATTATGATTCTAGTTCTAGATTCTAGGTGTAGAATTTAGATCTAGAGTCTACGTTGAGTCTAGATCTAGATCTATCTAGAATCTAGAACCTAGTTAGATCCCGTGCATTCTCGAATAAGATGATCATTGAAGCTAAACAATATAAAATAATTAAGACCTGGGATTCTGTATCCCGCCAAGTTCAGATAGTCAAACTTATCATTCACATCTAAAAAAAAATTCATAAAAAACGTTTTAATAACAAGCTTTTATGTAATGATGCACTAAAAAGTAGGAAATAAATTATACACTACTATTTAAATTACTATAAAGAAAAGCGTGGGTCACTTTAGTACTTTAGTACCTATTGGATACCTTTACTAATATTTGAGAAGAGACCCACGCTTTTCTTTAGTAAAAAATTAATTAGGCATCCAATTAAGTCAAATTTAGTTTCAGATTGCAGTCTTGACCCACATGCCAACTGTGAATCGTATCGGTCAAGTAGAACTGTCCGAATTTCCACTCCTGCGTTTCGATCTAGACTGACGACAGACCGACGACAGAGAAAGTGAGTTAAATAAAAGCTTGTAAAAAATGATTTTTTTTTAAAAACATTGACGTGATATGTCTAGAACCCGTGCCACCCGCATAAAAGCCTGATACACTAACAACTTAGCTGATTAGACTCGTGCCGTCACTGATGTTTTTTTGTCGTATAACTTAATAATATGAGTCTCCTTATGCAACTTGATTTACGCGCATAGGCCCTGTCTAATCTAGATCTAAGTCTAGTTACTTTCAGATTAAATTTTATCTCAAATTAACTAATTGCATAGCTAAACAAACAAAGATTTTCTATAAAATAATGAAGGCCTGAAATAGATTCTAGATGTAGAATTTACAATAAGTCTAGGTCTAGAATTTACGTTAAGTCTGGTGACCTAGATTTAGATCTAGATCTAGATTCAAAACTTTTTCTTCCTTCGACTGCTGATCTGTAGATCTAGAGAAATGTATTATATAATAAAATAAAAAGAAGTGTTAAAACATTGATAATAGTGTTGAAAGGTAATAAAAATAGAAAACGGACGTATTGTTAAAGTTATAGCCGACAGAAAATTAGTTTAAGAACGCGTTAAACATCTGAATGGACAACTCAATCTTGGATAGAAGTCGCCATTTATAGTACTAAAAAGTAAACAAATCATGTGACGTCACTATTCTCTCAAAGTAAAGTCAATGTTTTAAACTTTTAAAATTAATGTGATTAATCTACCTATGAATAAATTAATTAATTAATTAACGTCTTTAAAATAAATTTGTGATTAACAGTCTGTCTGAAAACAAAAATTGTTCTCTACCTACGTACTATTTTACAGCTCTACACCTAGAGCAGATTCTCTCTAGTAGTCAATCAGACAAACAAAAAAAAAAAACAGATAAATATTCAAACATGTAAACAAACTTGAGTATTAGTAGTAGAGAGATGTATGAAAACAATTTTGCAGAATAGGCGTCGTAGCTTTGCTATTCCATTTTTAGTCAAGATATTAAAGCCAATTTTTTAAAAATGTCTGCGCATGTAGGCACCCCCCCCCTGGGTTTTATGACCCATAGGTTGGAAAGCTATGGGTTTAAGTTTTAAGTGGCATCGGCATGGCTTTGTTTCCTATGAATGTATAATAAAACGAAATTTAGTTCAACGAATAATTATGTCTACCTTGGTAAGGTAGGATTGGTGCGGGCTTAGTGCAATGCAGCCAGCAGACCTTCTCCGACGGAAATCCGCATGTCTAGTAGCATATATAAATCAGCAATGATGTGATTAATAGGCTCAAAATGACACTTCACAAAATGAGTGCTCGGAGAAAGCTCACATCAAGCTCACCTCCAATATCTTACATAATACTAGCGTGCCCGTCCCCGCGCGTTGCTGCGGGGTTAGAAGAAAGTCTGACGAAATATTTTAAGAGGGTTTCATCAATGCGTTACCAATCCTATATTCTTAGGCGCTTGACCTTATTTTCTAAAACTGGATTGTTTAAATGTAAACAATTCCTGTGCTCAATTTCTAGGATCATATTTGTAATGGCAGAGGTTTGCAAACATTGTCGCCCAGCACACCACAGGGCGTGCTTTATGAAAGCCTTGAGTGTTTTAATCACTCGCCGTCATAATGAGGTAGAACACACTTTGGCGACCGCCCAGATGTCAGGAGCGTAGCAGGACGCTCTCGGGAGCCTCCAGTTACACTAAGGCAGGGGCACCTCGTACGGTCCCTGGCTCAGTTTAATCATCGGATGTCGTGTGCTACCGTGTCAATATTATAGCCTACTACTCACACTGAATCTGACGCTGAACCGCCTTACATTTTGTGTGTGACATTCAATGATCACAATTTCTCTATTTAATTTTCTAAATTTCTACGTGTCATTATTAATTTCTCCAAACGGATATATTACTTCTATATTACATAAATACAATTTCTTTGATCAAACATACATGCATTTATTTAGTACTGACTATATCGCCCACCCATGTAGCTTGTAAGAGATCATATAAATACGTTAAGAATCGTTTGCGAATCTTAATATACCCTAAAGGCTTTATGCTTATGCCAATAGATACCGATCTTTTAATTGAACTAATTAATGACAATATTCTAGGCGATGCAATTGAAATGTTTAGAACTTATATTACAACCCTATTACGATGAGTACAGATATTTGAGTTTATAATTTTAATGAATGCCTACAATAGGTTTGATGTCTAATTTTTAAATAATACTTTCAATTTATGTTATAATTTTAGGCGGTATATTTAGTTAACATATTTTCATTATCCTTATCAGGTAAGGCTTTGACAGGGACATATTCCATTCTGGGGAACCCCAACCCTCCCGGGCCCCTTTAAAGATATCCCGGGCCCCTTTAAACATATCCCGGGCCCATTTAAACATATCCCGGGCCCTTTTAAACATATCCCAGGCCCATTTAAACATATCCCGGGCCCATTTAAACATATCCCGGGCCCTTTTAAACATATCCCGGGCCCATTTAAACATATCCCGGGCCCATTTAAACATATCCCGGGCCCTTTTAAACATATCCCGGGCCCATTTAAACATATCCCGGGCCCATTTAAACATATCCCGGGCCCATTTAAACATATCCCGGGCCCATTTAAACATATCCCGGGCCCTTTTAAACATATCCCGGGCCCTTTTAAACATATCCCGGGCCCATTTAAACATATCCCGGGCCCCTTTAAACATATCCCGGGCCCATTTAAACATATCCCGGGCCCATTTAAACATATCCCTTTAAAAATATCCCGGGCCCCGTTAAACTCGAACCTAACTAATCCACACCCTAACCCTAAGTCCAACTGCCTTGTTTCTAGCGCTTTCTATGTCCAACTATCTGACTTTTGGTGGATCAAAAGTTAGGGTTAATGTTATTCATATGGGGGGGGGGGGGGTGGCAAATGTGAAATCGCCATGATTAAAAAGTACCTAATAATTAATAGCTTTGATTATATTATGTAAGCTATTGACAGGGTAATATACAAAGGCATTGCGATCTATTTTGGTGCCCCGGACGAACAATCAATTTTGCGCCCCCTCCTCAAATTAGGAATACGAGCCGACCCGCGGCGTATCATACGCCGCTATTTAGTTGTTTTATTTTCTACTTTTCAGTAATTCATAATTTGTGAATTCGACAGTACCAATGCTGCCACTGAAAATATTTGCTTTAAAACACTAAACCCCCCCCCCCCCACCCTTTCCCCCAACCCCTACCCTACACCCCCCCCCCCCCCCGTGAAAGCAGCCTCCTCTTAGTTACGTCCTGTAAGTTTAAATTCGTTTCAAACTTCAAACTAAATTATCTGCCCCTAATAGCCGTCAACGAACCCGGCTCTACGATTTATAAACATTTAGAGTGAACCATATATATATATATATATATATATATATATATATATATATATATATATATATATATATATATATATACAGAATAAAAACATAGGATATTCATTTCTGGCCTGATCGGGTTTTGGAAAAATATGTCTTTGTTTTTTACTTTCTCGTATATACGTAGTATAGAGAAAGTATTGTAATCGTGCAAAAAAAAAAAAATCGAGATTTTTACAAATCTCGACGTTTTACACCTCACTGATACGGAAAAACATAATTTTGCAATCTTGTCCGTATGTCTGTGTGTGTGTGTGTCTGTCTGTCTGTCTGTCTGTCCGTGTGTAAACACGATAACTTGAGTACCGTTACAGCTAGGTTGATGAAATTTCATATATAAGTATTTTATCAAAATCGTAGATCCGTATCAACTTTTGAGCGATTTCCGATAACCGGAAGTGGTACTTTTCCTACTTTGAATTTTTTAAAAGCCTATAACTTGAGTACTATTTCAGATAGATAAATGAAATTTCACATGTAAGTAAAAGATCTAATTCTCTACCTTCTGTTAAATTTTGAGTAATTTCCGTTGACAGGAAGTAGTAATTTACGCTACTTCCGATTTCTCAAAAAACTAATGTAAATTTTAAAAGTACTAATAATATTGCGCACTATTATACACACCTTTATTAGGCGTTCGCTTGGTGCGCAATTGTTTTTTACTGAGATTCTATTCTATTTTTAAAAGTTTTAGTATTTAAAATGGATTAAAAATCATAACTATATCCCCAGTTACCATCCCCTGTTGTTTTATATAAGAATATTCGAGAAAGTTTAGGGGAGATCACTACCGGTTTATTTAATAAGTAAAACAAATTACAACAGCATATCGTGTGTGTGAGTCCACTAGTCTGTTTTGAAAATTTGTTTTCTTTTATGTTTACAGTAATTCTTCTTACCTTGGTCACCGATAAAACGTGAAAGCTTTGTATGTGTAATGGTTTCGTGACGTCATTTATGGATAACCCCCTAAACAAAAATAAGTAAACATACATACAACAGAAATTATTGTTATCATATTCTTTTATTTTTATTCGTAGAATTTGTAGGATAGTACAGAGCAGTAGTACTACCAACACAAAAAAGTACAATTTACATTGTAAAATCACAATGGATTGTGGTCCCATAACCAACGTACAATTTACATTGTAAAATCACAATGGATTGTGGGCCCATAACCAACGTACAATTTACATTGTAAAATCACAATGGATTGTGGGCCCCTAACCAACGCTATAAAGAAGCAAAAGTCGTCTTAATATCTAGCAGCCTCTATTTAAAAGAATTTTGCCTACAACAGCATCTGTTTGACTGTAGAAGAAAGAGGACTCGGCTTTCACAGTGGTTTAAAAACAAAGTGGAAAATACTATACAAGAGCGTGGGATGGTGTCTTTAGAATAAAAATAATCCAACCGAAGCTACAGTATTCTTTTTACAAAACAACCATCAAGTGGCGTGCCCCCCCCCCCCCCCCAGATTGCGGGGTCTGGCAGTACTGTAGTTCCGCCCATGAGCCTAACCCATTATCTTCTGTCGCAAACCTCCCTCATAACTCAACCCAAACAGATTTTGTTTAGGTTAGTGTTAGATCAATGTTTCAGTTTATATATATATATATATATATATATATATATATATATATATATATATATATATATATATATATATATATATATATATATATATATATATATATATATATATATATATATGTGTGTGTGTGTGTGTGTGTGTGTGTGTGTGTGTGTGTGTGTATGTATGTATGTATGTATGTATGTATAGCCGTCTCGGTCAGGCCCTGCACTGGCCTCTGTGAAAAACCTATCTGTAAAGGACCATGACATATGTGTTTAGTAATCAGCATATATCCGGCATTGCCCACCCTAACCACAACCAACCACAATATACACCCAAAAATAGCAAACATAACGCAAACACAAATACAAACTCAAACACAAACGCAAACACAAACGCAAACACAAACCCAACCACAAACGCAAACACACAAAAAAAACTCAAACGAAAAAGCAAAATCAAACTAAAACAAACCAAATCCAAACGCAAACCCAACCACAAACGCAAAACCAACCCAAACACAAAGAAAACACAAACGCAAACATAAACGCAAAGTGCTCAGAGTCTACCCTGGGGCGCCAAATTGCACCATGCTGGGGCGCCGGCGGAACTGCCTGTTTCAGCTTAGTAAACGACTATAATACCCCAACTTATTCAAAGTCTTTTGCACTCACTTAAACGAACGAAGGCGCCAAAGCGAACACGGGAAAGCCCGGGGCGCCAAATAGCACCCTGTCTGGGCGCCGGAGGACGCCCGGATTTGATTATCTTAAAGACTATAATTTCCTTTCTTATCCATAGTCTATCGCACTGTTTAAAGCGATGTTATGCACCATAGCGCTCACATGATAGCCCAGTGTGCCAAATCGAACCCTGCCGGGCGCCGGCGAGCGCGCCTGTTTCAATTTAGTGAACAATTAAAATACCCCAAGCTTATCCGCAAACGGAAAGAAGTAAACATATAGGACATTTAGGAGCTGGCTTATTAACTGTTATTGATTTTTAAAAATAGTAAACAGTACATTCAGTGTATAGAATAAATAAAAAGCAGTATTTAAAATACCTACAGCATTTCACTTGATCAATCCCCGCTAATTATGTAATTATTTTTTTTCCAACACCAAAGCATAGTAATAAAAAGTAATGCCCCCCCCCCCCATGTAATGTTTTTTTAAAGGGAAGTAATTGTGTTTTCCAAATTTATCAAGGGACGTAATGAGTGCTAAAGAATTAAATGTAAATAATTTTCAGACATAATTAGAATTTTTGTGAAAGTTGATTATTTTTAATAAGTTTGAAAAAGGAAAATTGTTTTATAATACCTTCAAAATTAATTGTTTAAATTAAAAACAAAAAGAAATTTAAAATAAATAAATAAATAAATAAATAAATATATATATATATATATGTATATATATATATATATATATATATATATATATATATATATATATATATATATATATATATATATATATATATATTGACAGGAGAGACATGCGTAAAGTTGATAGTACGATTGGAGACTTCTGCATGCCACTGACCCTCGCCTCATTTAGTTATTTGTTTATTTGAAAGATCTGGAGTTTGATATACAGCCTAATCATTGTTCTTTATATTCATAGGTTACCTCTAGGTTTAGGGATAATATCCTTAATCCTTGCAGGGATATTAGTTCTGGCTTGTGACTGCTGCACACGACCATAGGATTGTGATTGCTGCTAGAATGTCATTCCTCAAGTTTTGGGCAAAGAAAAGTAAAAAGGAGGAAGTTGACCCCACCGCTGACCCGGAACTAGAAAAACGACGTCTACGTCATTCGCTGTCCATCTCCCGCTCTGGTCGGTTCAAACAGAAAAAACGTGAGCGTAGCCAGATCTCAGACAAACCGGAGCTCTTTGTTCAACCGGCAGATTCCGGTTCAGATGTGCAACACGACACACAACCCTCCACCAGACCACACCAACCCTCACCAAAGAATTATCGTGACGTCACTACACCCGGGGCTGCTGGGAATATACACGTGACGTCATCCGTGCTTACGTAACATCATATGTGCTTACACGACACACTCCGTGCTCACGTGCCGCCATCTTTTAGCACGTGACACCATCCGTCATCACGTGGCTGGTACAAATCGTCTTTCATTAGAAACACGTCTAACAACAACCGTATTTGTGTTGGGCGCTACACAGGGGTTTTATGTTCCGTGCAAGACTAGGAGACCATCAACAATGAGGCACATTGAATTGGTCGTGTATATTTAAGGCAATGTGCTGCGACCTTTAGACAGCTGTACCCGCTAATCTTTACATTCAGTTTTAGCATTCAGGATCTGCTCGAATCAAATTGTCAACAAAAAAAAGTTTCATGTTAATGGCACGTTAACTAACTTAAGGAAAAATCTGCTTCAGTGAATAGAAATCTTATTCTATTACACAAGATACATTGTCATAAGAGCCATGTGTAAATAGCTGTCTTCTGTTAGTATCGAGTGAATAGCACCAAGAAAATAATTACGCTAGCAAAAAAATGTATGTATTATACCCCCGAGAAGGTGTTATTCAATCCCAGATGTAATCATGAGGCAAACAGAGAAGCATTTATAAAAATCTTTGAAGAACACATTTCGTCACAATACAGAATACAAAATGTACACATTAAGACAGTGGCGTAGCGAGGTCAGGTGTCACCCGGTGCGGCACTTAATGGTGTCACCCCCCAGAGGCGCAACGACCCTTCCCGGGACAAACTTTCAATTTTCGATTTACACCCCCCCCCCCCTCAAACTTTCGATTTGCACCCCCCCCCCTCAAACCTTCGATTTGCACACCCCCCTCAAACTTTCGATTTGCACCCCCCACCTCTTAAAAGGTTATTTAACACTCTAATTAATCACTCTATTAAGTGGAATTATCATTTTTCTCTATATATTTTTGCTATTTTTTGCCTTGGTGTCACCCCCTTAAATGGTGTCACCCGGTGCGGTCCGCACCCCCCGCACCCCCCTCGCTACGCCCCTGCATTAAGACACAGAACAAAATAAAGCGATACACAACTATAATACACTATAATACAGCAACCATTTGTTTTTATTAAGTGCAAAGGGTTAGGTTTAGCCCATCGGATGTCACACACACACACACACACACACACGCACACACAAACATATCCAAAACCTAAATCTAAAGCAATAAACATAACTCACGCCTGTTCCTAACTAAAAAAAAAACGGTTGTACATAAAATAGTTTTTAAAAAAATGGTTGAAGAAAATAAAAATTGAAGTTTTTTTTTGTGTGTGTTACTCTATGTTGTATGTGTACCATTTGCTATATGTCTATCTGCAGACGCGATTGATTTTATCTTTATTTTTGTTGTTTATTTATTTCTCGTTATCTTTGCTGGTGTCCCGCCAGAAATTGATGATGATTATTGGTGAGAAAATGTATTTTTGTCGAATTTGCCTTCAAAGTGGTGTTTTTTTTAAAAAGCGGGAGTTAGCTCCCCTAAACTAGCTCAATCTAACAGAACAGCTTGGGTGGGGGTGGCATTTTCAGTGGGGTCGGGCTTATAAACAAATAGCTCGCCCTTCCAGAAAACAGATTTAGGTCAAGTACTTAAAATGTGCTTATCAATATCATGTGAGAATATGATTTAAAATGATCAGTCTAAAGGTTAGGTTTGGAATTAGGCTCCAACTTTATCAAAGTCTAAAGGTTAGGTTTGGAATTAGGCTCCAACTTTATCAAAGTCTAAAGGTTAGGTTTGGAATTAGGCTCCAACTTTATCAAAGTCTAAAGGTTAGGTTTGGAATTAGGCTCCAACTTTATCAAAGTCTAAAGGTTAGGTTTGGAATTAGGCTCCAACTTTATCAAAGTCTAAAGGTTAGGTTTGGAATTAGGCTCCAACTTTATCAAAGTCTAAAGGTTAGGTTTGGAATTAGGCTCCAACTTTATCAAAGTCTAAAGGTTAGGTTTGGAATTAGGCTCTAACTTTATCAAAGTCTGAAGGTTAGGTTTGGAATTAGGCTCCAACTTTATCAAAGTCTGAAGGTTAGGTTTGGAATTAGGCTCCAACTTTGATAGATATCTACGTACAGGAGCTAATATACATGTATATAAAATTTCGAACCTGAAAATTTAGGTATAAGATCTTGTATATGGGAATTTTGTCTAACTGAAAACAATACTCGTGTTATCATTTTACCACGGAAATAAAAAAACCTATATAGAAAAATATATACAGAAAATAGATAATTCCACTTAATTAAGTGTTTAATTAGAGTATTAAATAGTCTTTAAAAAGCGAATTTTTACAAATCCCGACACGGGTGAAGGGGGGGGGGGAGGATGACACCATGACGTAAACCTGCTAATGATAGAGAAAACATGCTACATCAAGCTGTATTTATAACCGTCTATAGATAAAAAAAAATCATTAGTATTATATCTGAGCACAGTTTAAAGCAATCGCCGTGGGGGGGGGGGGGGGGGAGTTATATATATTAACTCAACGTTGCAAAATATGCCTGAGGTTAACGGTTTGGTTGAGAATCGTAATAACTTATGTGTTAATCCATATATGGGGGAGGTAAAAAAATTAAATACATAAAAAAATATAAGTGAATAGGGCCTTCATACACATGCGTATATACATACTTATATACATCTATATAACAAAGTGGTCGGGTGCCCGGAAGAGCACTTCCCGGCACCGCAGGCGCTTCAAATTTGACAGGCTCTTGCCTTGAGGCAATAGAACACAGGGGTCGGTACCGGTTGGCCGCAAAGTTTACGAAGAGGGGGTCAAAACTGACCTTGACTGACCGGCGCCTTATATGAGCTATATTACGAAAAAAAAACGCTTGCCGAACTACCCCCTTGATATTTTGTGAGGTGGTAGAAAAACACCTAGGGGTGTCAGAAAAAAACTCGCCATATCCTTGAAAGTTCTGCAAAGTGGTCAAAACTGACCAGTCGTATTTCCTAATATAATCTTTGTAATTTAAGGGAAAAGCAGATGGACACTTCAAAACAGATTTTAGGGCACTTACCGTCTGTACATCTAGCTAATTTTTTGCATGCACCTAGGTAGCTAGGCGTATGGAAAAAACTGTCGGTTCGACTCAAAACCCTACACGAGGCTAAAAAATGACCGCGATTGAAATTCTCCTAACATGATATATATATATATATATATATATATATATATATATATATATATATATATATATATATATATATATATATATATATATATATATATATATATATATATATATATATATATATATATATATATGTATATATATATATATATATATATGTATATATATATATATATATATATATATATATATATATATATATATATATATATATATATATATATATATATATATATATATATATATAGGCCTATATATATATATATGAATTGGCGAACGACCACCCAAATATTTTTTGAGGTCGCAGACCGACCCTGGAGGGTAACAAAACAACATTATTCCCGACAGAAAAACCCTTTAGATTTGTCTAGATGCAGTATTTTCTTATATAAATAATAACGCCATTTGGTATATGTAAAGGGGAGGTAACTTTTTTCAGTAATAATTTTAAAATAATTATTTTACTATTTTAAAGAAAAAAAATCACAAAGTATAGCATTTGTTTAAATACATATTTCGTTATGAATTAAGGTATGTATTGTAATGACATTGTAAAAATTAAATGACAAAGAAAATTTAATACGTGATATATATATATATATATATATATATATATATATATATATATATATATATATATATATATATATATATATATATATATATATATATATATATATATATACGTGCCGACAACTAAAGCAAAGACTACACTTGTGAATTAAGATCGATTTGTGACTCTAACCCTTGACGGTCTATATCCAGCGGGAATAAACAAAAACAGAAGGGTGACCAGAAAGATGCGCAACGGAAAAAAGCGCTTAAAAAATGCGCAAACATGGAAAAAAGCGCACACAGGAAAATGCGCAACCATAAAATTGCGCACACGGATATCCTATTACGCGTTTTCCCAAATGTACTTAACATATCAGTACGGGGGAGGGAATAACCAATTCAGAAAGAACATAGCGTCAGTATTGAGATGGCTGTTCTAGACATATATATACAATTAGGCCTATACATATACACTGATTCAGAAATAGATTTCTGCGCCACTGATATAAATACATTTTTAACAATAATATAAATAACTCAATTAGTATCCGAGTTACTTTAAGGCATCTCTTCAGGGTCGTGGCGCCCCCCCCCCCCCCCCCCGAAGAACGTCTACCGCCCCGCCCCCGCCCCCAACGAAATATAATTTATATAGAAATATATACAAATTTCAAGTGTCCACCCCCCTCCCCACCCGAGGTCCACGTTTGTTCTCAAATTGTTCTTCATGTATTTCATTCTTGAAAATGTTTGTTCACACAGGTATGTTGTTCGAAAATTTGAAAAGTACTTTGATGCAAAAGTTTTAATGGTAGGAAAGTCTTCCTTGTGCAAAAACGTATGAAAACCCAACCGCCCTTCTTTGAACGTGTCTCTAAGAAAGTCATTTTCTTGCAATTCAATGACCTCCAGCAGCTGCAGTTCATCTTTGCAACTGGCCACATTTGCTTCAAATGGGCTTTGAAACAGTCTCACTTCTTCTGCGTTTGAATCCGTCAGATAACCGCTACTGAAAACCTACTAAGCTAGGCCAGGGGTCGGCAACCTTTTGGGACGGAAGAGCCAAAAGTTACATCTTACCTTCCTTCCTTATACGGAAACCGGCTCAGAAGGTTCACTTCCATTAGCCAGGCAGGCCTCAGTGTGGCAAACCCCGAAAGAGTTTCCCACACATCGGTCGCTACTTCCGTCGGCTCTCACCGGGCCTTCCTTCCCCACCCACGGGACGTGGGGACGTCGTCCTACCGCCTGGTACCCAGCTTGATCGTGGGGGGCACGGTTAAAACCAGATCAAAACCCTCTAGCTGCTGTTATCTGCCACTGGCCATTCCGCACCCACAAGGGGGGACATGAGTTTGGTCGGACCAGTGGCATTATTCCGAAGCCCCGTTAAGGCCGCCGCTTAAAGTCAAAAGAAAGATCTGGCGGCGGACTCTTTTGGTTCCTGGCAGTCTTGCACCTCTCCTCCCCCACGCCATTATGTGGGGACTTGGGAGTCCGACGTACCAGGCTCTTCGGAAGAGCCGAACGCATACAGCAGTTCTACTCGGCCAGCTGCTGTTGGCTACCACTAGCCATCCCGCACCCACTAGGGGGGTCATGAGCTTGGTCCGACTAGTGGCACACATCCGAAGCCACGTGAAGGCCGCAGCTTAAAGTTAAGACATCTGGTTAGGGTCGAGAGCAAAACCCTTCTTGGTTCCCGGCAGTCTTTCACCTCTCCTCCACCACGCTATTTAGAGCAAGCAACGGAGATTCGCCCGTCTAGTGCGGACAAATCTCCTGGCTCGTTATCATGTAGGGGACTTGGGAGTCCGACGTACCAGGCTCTTTTTTAAAGAGCCACTAACATTTTTATTTCAATATTATATTTGATTAGGATTATATATATATATATATATATATATATATATATATATATATATATATATATATATATATATATATATATATATATATATATGTTACCGAGTCTATTTACTTGTAGTGCCAAATGTTACCGATTTCACTGCTGACAGCGCCAAATGTTACCGAGTGTATTTACTCGTGCTACCTTTGACCAGCACACAACATCGACCACAATATAGATACTCGGAAATGCAGGTTTACATTGATCTCTTTATTACATGAATCAATAGAAATGCTCCACATAACAATGCATCAATGTTCCACAAGAATACAATGAACCAACTGACCCCCACTGTCCTCACTAGTCCTCACATAACAGAATGCACGTGTCCATCGTTCCTATTCTCACATAACACAATACGTCTACACCGTTCAGTCTCCAACTTGGTACTGCCTCTCTCTACCAGTCGCCTTCCCATCATCCCCTCGTATACGTAATACTTTCCATACGTTGCATCAGACTATGAACTGCGCAGCGGCTTGTCGTATACTTCCCAAAATACGCCGTGGCTTATCAGTCCACCACCTGCACTATTGCGTCAGACTGTAATGCGTTCTTACAATAGTCTTTAGTTGACAGACTGTCTTACGTTCTTATCGTCCCTGGTAACTACACTAGTTACATATATATATATATATATATATATATATATATATATATATATATATATATATATATATATATATATATATATATATATATATATCATCACTCCTTTGTGGCCCCTTTAAATATGAAATAAAATTTATTCAGATAAAAACATACAAATGTTTCACAGAAAAAGTATTAAGGTATTTTATCTAGCGCTGTTAGAATAATAAAATCAGTGATCAAAGTATATGACTCTAATTATTGAATACTATTTATGACAAGACTATTCTATGCGTCACATAGTAGGGCCTCAACTCGCGGCATTTATTTTTTTTTTTTTTAGCTGTCCATTTGTACAGTGAAACGTGCATGTTTTTACTGGACCTCCAAATCAACTAACTTGCTCTTGTGATCTGTGAACTTACCGCTCCACAAATGTTTTGTTTTCAAATCTAGCACTTTAATTTGAAGCGAACCAGCATCAATTCCAAATAGCTCAAAGTTAATCTCATTTGTTTTTGTGGTGAAAGAATCTACTATGAACGTCAGAGTACTTGCATTTCTTTTGAATTGCTCAAATCTCTCAGTGAACCCATCCTTCATTTTGTTTATAGTAATAGTGAAGTGATTCATGGTAATAGTAGCGTTGGTTTTATCATATTTTTCAAAATAAAGTAATTTACCGCTCTCCGGGTCTTCAACAAAATGAAGTAATTTTTTTTTCAAAACAATCATCTTCTCCGACCAAGGCATAGGCTGGGTTTTCCTTTCCGTGTAGTTTTAGATTGATCTCGTTTAGTTTCTTTGTGATCTCCACCATGAATGTGAATGTTGCAATTTAGGATAGACAAGTTAATAGGAAGTACATTGAAATATGGCGTAACTAAATATTCTAATAGAATAGCGGGTGTTTATTGTTTACGTTTATTATTTTATCGTTCATTACCGAGTGTTGCAGAACAATATTTGTAGGAGTTTTGAAAATAGAAAAAACAATATCTATATATATAATTCTCTTCTGGGAGCCGCTAGAAAACAAGCTGCAAACGCGCTCCCTACCTCCCCACCCCTACATGGTTTTAGTGAGCTGTGTTCACTCTAAATGTTGACAAGCAGAGCCAACGATTTTAAACGTAGGGGGGGGGAGGAAGGGGGGGTTATGGTCCTTAACGAGCTACTTATAGTGTTTTAAAGAAATATTTACAGTGGCAGCGTTGGTACTGTCGAATTCACAAATTATGAATTACTGAAAAGTAGAAAAAACAACAACTAAATAGCGGCGTATGTTATGCCGCGGGCCGGCTCGTATATATATAATTATCTTCTTGGAGACGTTAGAAAACAAGCTGTAAGCGCACCTTGCAGTCCCCTCTCTTCTTCTCTAGGAAGTCAGGTGAGCTGTGGTTCATGCTGTTTACAATCGTAGAGCCGGGTTTAGTGACGGCTATTAGGGGCAGATAATATAGTTTGAAACGATTTTTAACTTAGGGGAGGCTGTTTTCACGGGGGTGGTGGTGGTAGGGTTGGGGGAAAGGAGGGGGGGGGGGGGTTATCGTCCTTAACGACTTCCTGATAGTGTTTTAAAGCAAATATTTTCAGTGACAGCATTGGTACTGTCGAAATTCACAAATTATGAATTACTGAAAAGTAGAAAATTTAAACTACTAAATAGCGGCGTATGATACGGCTCGTTATTAATATTTGTGTATGGAGCTGAAGAGCCGCATCTTGACATCAAAAGAGCCGCAGGTTGCCGACCCCTGAGCTAGGCAGTATGCCTAGTATATGTATATATGTGTATATATATATATATATATATATATATATATATATATATATATATATATATATATATATATATATATATATATATATATATATATATATATATATATATATATATATATATATAATTTTTTGAGGAGGGGGGGGGGGGGTTGACACCATTGCGTGCCGCACCGTGTGACACCCGACCTTGCTACGCCACTGGGCTCTCTAGATGTTTCCTATTTAAACCTAACACTATCTACAGATTAGCATTTCCTTCATAAAAAAATATGTCTTACGCATTTTCTTTGCTTAAATAAAATATATTTGAAAAAAGAAAAAAAAAACAGACAATTTTTTAAATAGATTTTCTTTAAATACTGGCAATTACAGTACCAGACAACACATACTAAGTTACAAGTAAGTTTTTAAACAATTAGGAAAATGGAAATGCAATCAATTTAATAGAATAGAATTAATTAAATATTTTGTCATTGAAAAATTAGTAAACATTGTATAATCAAAATACAAGAAAAAAAATTCTTGAATTTATCCATGACATCTGTAAAATATATAGCATTTAGTAACGCCAAAATGTTTGACGTGTCATAGGAACAATGGGAAAAAAAACAATATACCAGCACTTGACTTAGGACAATTAACCAAGCTTAAACTAGACAATCAACTCAATTTCATAAACATTGTGCTATACATTTTATCATATTACAATAATGGGAAATTATAATAGACAAATTTAGTACTAAAAATTGTATAACTAAAAGTTTATACTCAAATAAAGAAGTATAAAAATATTTTTTTCAAATCAAATTTACCTTGGAAGAAAATCTATTTTACTTTCAAATATAGTAGATTTTAAAATGAAATACATTTGTCTGTTTTTAATTTAATAAAAATCTAGGTCTTGCCTGTGACTCTCTTATAATAGGTTGGACGGAAGAGTCAGCCCATTCATTGCTCTAAAATTGGAAAACTTGAGTCAGATTCTGATGCCGATGTTATCAATATCAACAGACATTTCTGTGGTGACCACATCAACAGACATGTCTGTGGTGACCACATCAACAGACATTTCTGTGGTGACCACATCAACAGACATTTCTGTGGTGACCACATCAACAGACATTTCTGTGGTGACCACATCAACAGACATTTCTGTGATGACCACATCAACAGACATTTCTGTGGTGACTACATCAACAGACATTTCTGTGGTGACCACATCAACAGACATTTCTGTGGTGACTACATCAACAGACATGTCTGTGGTGAACAAAGGTGAACAAAGTTTAAAAGTTGGATGACATCCACTTACTCCATCAGATCAAATAGTAGAACAAGATGATGACATCCACTTACTCAACTTACACACTCATATCAAATAGTCTGAACAAGAAAAAGAATTTATTTCACATGAATTCAAACTTTTTCAGGATTATCAAGTGTTTTGGCCAGTTTCTTCTTCATGTTTAGAAATATTTAGCTGAGGGAAGCCTTGGTCCAAACAACTTGTTGTGCACCCAGTAGCACAACTTGCTGTGCACCCAGTAGCACAACTTGCTGTGCACCCAGTAGCACAAGTTGCTGTGCACCCAGTAGCACAGCTTGCTGTGTACACTGTAGAACTATTTGCCCAGCAGCTTGATATGCTTGCTGAGTACAATCTCCATAATCTTTTGCTCAAACTTGGCAGCCATGAGACTCATCATTGGATCAGCATCATCAGACCTCATTAGAGTGGGGGCAAAAACAATAGCCAGGTTTTCAAAAGACATCATGTTCTTGCTCTTGTGTTCCACTACCCTACAACACAAAGTGGATGTTATGTAGCTTGTGGATAGACAAACTGGATTGTGTCTAGTTAAAAGGCTCAAAGTGGATTGTGTCCAGTGGATATACATAAAGGGGATCAGGCTGACTAGGAAGTGGTTAAAGTGGATAATTAATATTTATACTCATTTGCAGCAAAAGAGAAACTACTGAAGTATGATTTGAGGTAAAGTTAAGTGTCTACTTGCTTACATGTGTGAATGTGACTTACCTGCTTACATGTGTGAATGTGATTTACCTGCTTACACGAGTGTGTGAAAGTGATTTGCCTGCTTACATGAGTATGTGTGAATGTGATTTACCTGCTTACATGTGTGTGAATGTGATTTACCTGCTTACACGAGTATGTGTGAATGTGATTTACCTGCTTGCATGTGTGTGAATGTGATTTATTTGCTTACATGTGTGTGTGAATGTGATTTACCTGCTTACATGTGTGTGAATGTGATTTACCTGCTTACACGAGTGTGTGTGAATGTGATTTATTTGCTTACATGTGTGTGTGAATGTGATTTACCTGCTTACATGTGTGTGAATGTGATTTACCTGCTTACACGAGTGTGTGTGAATGTGATTTACCTGCTTACACGAGTGTGTGAATGTGATTTACCTGCTTACATGTGTGTGAATGTGATTTATTTGCTTACATGTGTGTGTGAATGTGATTTACCTGCTTACATGTGTGTGAATGTGATTTACCTGCTTACATGTGTGTGAATGTGATTTACCTGCTTACATGTGTGTGTGTGAATGTGATTTACCTGCTTACATGTGTGTGAATGTGATTTACCTGCTTACATGTGTGTGTGAATGTGATTTACCTGCTTACATGTGTGTGAATGTGATTTACCTGCTTACATGTGTGTGAATGTGATTTACCTGCTTACATGTGTGTGTGTGAATGTGATTTACCTGCTTACATGTGTGTGAATGTGATTTACCTGCTTACATGTGTGTGTGAATGTGATTTACCTGCTTACATGTGTGAATGTGATTTACATGCTTACATGTGTGTGAATGTGATTTACCTGCTTACATATGTGTGAATGTGATTTACCTGCTTACATGTGTGAATGTGATTTACCTGCTTACATGTGTGAATGTGATTTACCTGCTTACATGTGTGTGTGTGAATGTGATTTACCTGCTTACATGTGTGAATGTGATTTACCTGCTTACATGTGTGAATGTGATTTACCTGCTTACATGTGTGTGTGTGTGTGAATGTGATTTACCTGCTTACATGTGTGTGTGTGAATGTGATTTACCTGCTTACACGAGTGTGTGTGAATGTGATTTACCTGCTTACATGTGTGTGTGAATGTGATTTACCTGCTTACATGTGTGTGTGTGAATGTGATTTACCTGCTTACACGAGTGTGTGTGAATGTGATTTACCTGCTTACATGTGTGTGTGAATGTGATTTACCTGCTTACATGTGTGTGTGAATGTGATTTACCTGCTTACATGTGTGTGTGAATGTGATTTACCTGCTTACATGTGTGTGTGAATGTGATTTACCTGCCCAGGTGAGCACACATGTACTTGAGGGTGTGAAAGTGAGCTGGTGGCAAGCTATTTAAGGGCTCCTTCATCAGCTGGACTTGGTCAGATGGAGAAAGGTCTTCAGTTTCTGCCAAGACAGCCACAGACATTTTATATCATTGTCATTAGTAGACGTGTCTAAACCCTATCCTTTAGTAGACGTGTCTAAACCCTATCCTTTAGTAGACGTGTCTAAACCCTATCCTTTAGTAGACGTGTCTAAACCCTATCCTTTAGTAGACGTGTCTAAACCCTATCCTTTAGTAGACGTGTCTAAACCCTATCCTTTAGTAGACGTGTCTAAACCCTATCCTTTAGTAGACGTGTCTAAACCCTATCCTTTAGTAGATGTCTAAACCCTATCCTTTAGTAGATGTGTCTAAACCCTATCCTTTAGTAGATGTGTCTAAACCCTATCCTTTAGTAGATGTGTCTAAACCCTATCCTTTAGTAGATGTGTCTAAACCCTATCCTTTAGTAGACGTGTCTAAACCCTATCCTTTAGTAGACGTGTCTAAACCCTATCCTTTAGTAGACGTGTCTAAACCCTATCCTTTAGTAGATGTGTCTAAACCCTATCCTTTAGTAGATGTGTCTAAACCCTATCCTTTAGTAGACCAAATATGATATCTCAATCCCTGGTAGTACAAAGGAGTAAATGTTATGTTAGGTGGTATGTAGGAGTAAATGTTCGGTTAGGTGGTATGTAGAAGTAAATGTTATGTTAAAAAGAAAATCTTACTGATAATTTCCATGAGTTTCTTATAGACCTGACATGTGATTAAAGGGATGGGTAAGATCCTGAAGTACAGCTTGAGAGCACTACATATGGTGTTGATGTCCTCATACTTGTTCACACTTATATCTGTGTTTTCTGCATCTAATATAACATAAACATCTGTCACCAAAGTGCATTGACACCCCTAACTCAATTGACCATAGACACCCCTAACTCAATTGACCATAGACAACCCTAACCCAACTGCCTGAAGACGACCCTAACCCAACTAACCATAGACAACCCTAACTCAACTGCCTGAAGACAACCCTAACCCAACTGGCCATAGACAACCCTAACCCAACTGACCATAGACAACCCTAACCCAACTGACCATAGACAACCCTAACCCAACTGACCATAGACAACCCTAACCCAACTGACCATAGACAACCCTAACCCAACTGACCATAGACAACCCTAACCCAACTGACCATAGACAACCCTAACCCAACTGACCATAGACAACCCCAACTTAACTGACCATAGACAACCTTAACCCAATTGACCATAGACAACCCTAATACAGCTGACTATAGACAACCCTAACCTAACTGACCATAGACAACCCTAACAGCTGACCATAGACAACCCTAACAACTGACCATAGACAACCATAACCAAACTGACCATAGACAACCCTAACCCAACTGACCATAGACAACCCTAACCCAACTGTATTGGAAATATTGCCATGTTTGAGAAACTCTTCAGTGTGGAAGATGAATCTATTTTTGAGAGAAATAAAAATTTGAAAAAGGATTCTGGGCATCTTGAATCTCTTGAAAACTAACTGCGGCGTTATTCCCTGAGCTGAAAGAACCATAATGTGCATTTTCACGTTACCCTTTCTCTGCATCCAATGATGTTGCCAGAATTCCAAATGAATTACAAGATGAATCCTTAAATTTACGGAATGATTCCGCATCACCTACCGTTTTAAATGAAAAACTGCTCACACAATTTTAGTATAATATGCACTTTTCATACCTAAACGTTAAATTGATTGCTTTTTTATTTTTAGTTCGTTTTGTGTCTACATATGTTTGTGAGAATAGATTTTCAACACTTCTCCAATTAAAAACAAAACAAAGAAATAAATTATATAGAGAATGACATAAGGTTGGCGTTGACAAAAACTCAACCGCGAATTTTGAGGCTAGTTAGTAACATGTAATTTTACTCATCGTATTAAAAAAGCTATCAAGAATAATTCATATCGAAAGTTTACTAGAAAATCTTTTTTTAATGCTTATTAATTTCCTTACTAATTTTGACTTTTTCATCCTTTGGGGGTCGCCACTAATAAAAATTTGGGAACCACTGGTCTATAACATAAAAACAGAATTAGAAAAACAGACTGTGTTAACCTTTATCAAAAGCCATGCGTACAGCCTCTACGTCATCATGAAAGCCAGCTAGCCGGTAGAGTCCCTCCATCTCCAAACCTAAGACAAAAAACATTCATTAGAATCAGTTGTTACATAGTGTTTAGGTCACTACAAATGATAGGTCACTACAAATGGTAGGTCACTACAAATGATAGGTTACTACAAATGATAGGTCACTACAAATGATAGGTCACTACAAATGGTAGGTCACTACAAATGGTAGGTCACTACAAATGATAGGTCACTACAAATGATAGGTCACTACAAATGATAGGTCACTACAAATGATAGGTCACGACAAATGATAGGTCACGACAAATGATAGGTCACGACAAATGATAGGTCACTACAAATGGTAGGTCACTACAAATGGTAGGTCACTACAAATGATAGGTCACTACAAATGGTAGGTCACTATAAATGATAGGTCACTACAAATGATAGGTCATTACAAATGGTAGGTCACTACAAATGGTAGGTCACTACAAATGATAGGTCACTACAAATGATAGGTCACTACAAATGATAGGTCACTACAAATGATAGGTCACTACAAATGATAGGTCACTACAAATGATAGGTCACTACAAATGATAGGTCACTACAAATGATAGGTCACTACAAATGATAGGTCACTACAAATGGTAGGTCACTACAAATGATAGGTCACTACAAATGATAGGTCACTACAAATGATAGGTCACTACAAATGATACTTCAAAAGTGTGCTATGAGGTCAACCCAATCATTATTAAACAGTGGTGTCGTAACCTCAAAGTGTCTATAGGTCGTTACAATTAGTTACATAAGGGGCCTTAGGTCAATAGAGTCATTGTTAACCCTTTATTTACGGAATTATGTTCTGAATGAGATTTTTACTTAAACAATGTGTTAATATATTGCTTTTGGCACATTCAAAGCATATGTCGAAGGAAATTTCGTTTCATAAAGTTTTAATAGCCCAAACAGATATTGGTACTTATAAGTACCGTCAGTAATCTAGGACATTTTGTTTCAAAAATATTTTTTTTACAAAACAGGAACAAACGATACAATTTATTAACTAATAACATGGCAATCATTATAACAATCACTTTTTGTAATTTTCACACATAAATACAGCACAAAAGTATATTTTGAGTACGATTTGACTGGATTTTCTATCGGAACACATCTTAGACCTCAAACACAGCAAAAGTAGTCGACATTTCATGCTCCCTCAATCTTGTCTGTGGTCTTTCTGGTGTAGCAACGGTTGCCGGAATGAATATGCTTTTGCTGGAAGCTTCCAATAACTAGTACAATGAGCCGCATAAACAAACAAAAGCCTAGTCATTCAGCACACAACTACTAGTAATACTAGTATAATTGTAGCCTACTAGAATGTAATGACAAGTCTACACTACAGTGCCAAGTTCATAAATAGAAGTGAGCTAAGTGTGTTTAGGATAGCCATAGTGGATTACTCTTTTCTGTTTACTGATTAAAATTTACCTCATAGATCTATACTATATGCAGAAGTATGGACTATTACTAGTCTAGATGTATACATTACGTAAATGCTGGTTGTTGTGGGCAAGACAGTTTATTGCAGTAAATATAACTAACAAATTAAATCTTACAACTAGAACTAGGCTTTGGTATACAAATGAAGTATACTAAACCTTGTAAACGAGCCTGTAACTGATACCTTTATTCTTGTTATTTTTTTACTACTAGAAATTAACATGTAATTACACAATTTCTTAGGTAAACCATATGTAAACCTTCTTATAAATGTGTAAATATCATTTTTTGAGTACATTTCGATAATTAATTATCAAGACAATATTTATGTAACCCCACCTAACAAATCTGCCATTTTCTAAAAATCCTAAAAAAATGACCGTGTGCCCTGACGGTACTTATAAGTCCACTTGTAAACATCGATCTAATACAAAGACAATTTGATTAAAATTGTATAACTAGAAGTTAAACGCGTTTGCCTGACTATTGAAGGTGCCAATAAAAAATATTTGGGGTTGAAAACTTGAAAAATAAGGTAAAACAAAGGGAAATCAAGAACGTGTGTGAGAAATGTACAGAAAAATTGTGAACTACCGATATAGCAAGACATTGAAAATGGCGCCACACCATTAATCTAAAAAAAAAACATTGATACCTCCGACTACCGGCGACTCAGGGGAGATAATACTATTAATTACTTTAATAATTTTAAAAATTCGTATTAAATTAAAAATAATACAAGCACTTAATTAAAGTGGTACTTATAAGTACCGTCAGTAGATAAAGGGTTAAATAGTAGGATGAGGGTTGGAATTCAATCTACTCAACAAATAAGTCCCCATCTAGTCTTGTGATCAATTTACAAATCAGTAGCCATCTAGTCTTGTGATCAATTTACAAATCAGTAGCCATCTAGTCTTGTGTTTACCCTCCCCTTCTAGATATGAAAATGACCTACCTCTTAACTCAATCTCTTTAACACATTTTTCCACCACTAGTGGGATGAGTGACTTCTGAGCCTTGACCACTGTTGTCAGATCTCCACCAAATATTCTTTTGACATACTTCATATCAGGCATACAATCATTGGGCACCTTTTCACTGCATTTTTTATGTGCTTGTAGACCACAGTCTTTAGATAGAAAAAAATTATTTGAGTCATAAAATCATTGGACAGCCTAACCTGGGGATTTTAACAGCGGAAATATACTGACCTTGACATTTGACACCCTGTGCCAGTAGACCCCACATAAAATTTGCACAATAATCACACCAGTGAAGGCCCATGAAGTTTTGTACCTGTTAGGTTAGACACCAGTAGAGTATGGGTTAGACACCAGTAGAGTATGGGTTAGACACCAGTAGAGTATGGGTTAGACACCAGTAGAGTATGGGTTAGACACCAGTAGAGTATGGGTTAGACACCAGTAGAGTATGGGTTAGACACCAGTAGAGTATGGGTTAGACACCAGTAGAGTATGGGTTAGACACCAGTAGAGTATGGGTTAGACACCCCCCCCCCAACTTTAAATTATTAAAATAATTGATTAAAATTATGAAACTATTGTTTCAAACACACAACTTATGTTAGATGTTCATGATCTAATTGAATTGTTTTCAATTATATTATTACTAAAATAGCAGTCATATCAATTAGGAATAATATATCTTAACAATAATGTAATTTACTAATTAAGGTCTGCTGTTATTGAGTAGCCTAGAGACTTATTTACTCTAGGTTTTAGATCTAGTAAATTGTGTTGAAGAAAATAAAAGGCCACTTGTAAGAAATAATAGAAGCAAAAAAAAAAAAAAAAAAAAAAAAAACAACAAAAGGACTTTACTTACTTTAAAGATGTGCTGTATGTTGTATGTGTTGTATGAGAGGACTTTACTTACTTTAAAGATGTGCTGTATGTTGTATGTGAGGACTTTACTTACTTTAAAGATGTGCTGTATGTTGTATGTGAGGACTTTACTTACTTTAAAGATGTGCTGTATGTTGTATGTGTTGTTTGTGAGGACTTTACTTACTTTAAAGATGTGCTGTATGTTGTATGTGAGGACTTTACTTACTTTAAAGATGTGCTGTATGTTGTATGTGTTGTTTGAGAGGACTTTACTTACTTTAAAGATGTGCTGTATGTTGTATGTGTTGTTTGAGTGGACTTTACTTACTTTAAAGATGTGCTGTATGTTGTATGTGTTGTTTGAGAGGACTTTACTTACTTTAAAGATGTGCTGTATGTTGTATGTGTTGTATGTGAGGACTTTACTTACTTTAAAGATGTGCTGTATGTTGTATGTGAGGACTTTACTTACTTTAAAGATGTGCTGTATGTTGTATGTGTTGTTTGAGAGGACTTAACTTACTTTAAAGATGTGCTGTATGTTGTATGTGTTGTATGAGGACTTTACTTACTTTAAAGATGTGCTGTATGTTGTATGTGTTGTTTGAGTGGACTTAACTTAGTTTAAAGATGTGCTGTATGTTGTATGTGTTGTTTGAGTGGACTTTACTTACTTTAAAGATGTGCTGTATGTTGTATGTGTTGTTTGAGAGGACTTTACTTACTTTAAAGATGTGCTGTATGTTGTATGTGAGGACTTTACTTACTTTAAAGATGTGCTGTATGTTGTATGTGTTGTTTGAGTGGACTTTACTTACTTTAAAGATGTGCTGTATGTTGTATGTGGACTTTACTTACTTTAAAGATGTGCTGTTTGTTGTATGTGTTGTATGTGAGGACTTTACTTACTTTAAAGATGTGCTGTATGTTGTATGTGAGGACTTTACTTACTTTAAAGATGTGCTGTATGTTGTATGTGTTGTTTGAGAGGACTTTACTTACTTTAAAGATGTGCTGTATGTTGTATGTGAGGACTTTACTTACTTTAAAGATGTGCTGTATGTTGTATGTGTTGTATGAGAGGACTTTACTTACTTTAAAGATGTGCTGTATGTTGTATGTTAGGACTTTACTCACTTTAAAGATGTGCTGTATGTTGTATGTGAGGACTTTACTTACTTTAAAGATGTGCTGTATGTTGTATGTGTTGTTTGAGTGGACTTAACTTAGTTTAAAGATGTGCTGTATGTTGTATGTGTTGTATGTGAGGACTTTACTTACTTTAAAGATGTGCTGTATGTTGTATGTGAGGACTTTACTTACTTTAAAGATGTGCTGTATGTTGTATGTGTTGTATGAGAGGACTTTACTTACTTTAAAGATGTGCTGTATGTTGTATGTGAGGACTTTACTTACTTTAAAGATGTGCTGTATGTTGTATGTGTTGTTTGAGTGGACTTTACTTACTTTAAAGATGTGCTGTATGTTGTATGTGAGGACTTTACTTACTTTAAAGATGTGCTGTATGTTGTATGTGTTGTATGAGGACTTTACTTACTTTAAAGATGTGTTGTATGTTGTATGTGTTGTTTGTGAGGACTTTACTTACTTTAAAGATGTGCTGTATGTTGTATGTGTTGTATGTGAGGACTTTACTTACTTTAAAGATGTGCTGTATGTTGTATGTGTTGTATGAGGACTTTACTTACTTTAAAGATGTGCTGTATGTTGTATGTGAGGACTTTACTTACTTTAAAGATGTGCTGTATGTTGTATGTGTTGTATGTGAGGACTTTACTTACTTTAAAGATGTGCTGTTTGTTGTATGTGTTGTATGTGAGGACTTTACTTACTTTAAAGATGTGCTGTATGTTGTATGTGAGGACTTTACTTACTTTAAAGATGTGCTGTATGTTGTATGTGTTGTTTGAGAGGACTTTACTTACTTTAAAGATGTGCTGTATGTTGTATGTGAGGACTTTACTTACTTTAAAGATGTGCTGTATGTTGTATGTGTTGTATGAGGACTTTACTTACTTTAAAGATGTGCTGTATGTTGTATGTGTTGTTTGAGTGGACTTAACTTAGTTTAAAGATGTGCTGTATGTTGTATGTGTTGTATGTGAGGACTTTACTTACTTTAAAGATGTGCTGTATGTTGTATGTGAGGACTTTACTTACTTTAAAGATGTGCTGTATGTTGTATGTGTTGTTTGAGAGGACTTTACTTACTTTAAAGATGTGCTGTATGTTGTATGTGTTGTTTGAGTGGACTTTACTTACTTTAAAGATGTGTTGTATGTTGTATGTGTTGTTTGAGAGGACTTTACTTACTTTAAAGATGTGCTGTATGTTGTATGTGTTGTTTGAGTGGACTTTACTTACTTTAAAGATGTGCTGTATGTTGTATGTGAGGACTTTACTTACTTTAAAGATGTGCTGTATGTTGTATGTGAGGACTTTACTTACTTTAAAGATGTGTTGTATGTTGTATGTGAGGACTTTACTTACTTTAAAGATGTGCTGTATGTTGTATGTGAGGACTTTACTTACTTTAAAGATGTGCTGTATGTTGTATGTGTTGTTTGAGTGGACTTTACTTACTTTAAAGATGTGCTGTATGTTGTATGTGAGGACTTTACTTACTTTAAAGATGTGCTGTATGTTGTATGTGTTGTTTGAGAGGACTTTACTTACTTTAAAGATGTGCTGTATGTTGTATGTGAGGACTTTACTTACTTTAAAGATGTGCTGTATGTTGTATGTGAGGACTTTACTTACTTTAAAGATGTGCTGTATGTTGTATGTGTTGTTTGAGTGGACTTTACTTACTTTAAAGATGTGCTGTATGTTGTATGTGAGGACTTTACTTACTTTAAAGATGTGTTGTATGTTGTATGTGAGGACTTTACTTACTTTAAAGATGTGCTGTATGTTGTATGTGAGGACTTTACTTACTTTAAAGATGTGCTGTATGTTGTATGTGTTGTTTGAGTGGACTTTACTTACTTTAAAGATGTGCTGTATGTTGTATGTGAGGACTTTACTTACTTTAAAGATGTGCTGTATGTTGTATGTGTTGTTTGAGAGGACTTTACTTACTTTAAAGATGTGCTGTATGTTGTATGTGAGGACTTTACTTACTTTAAAGATGTGCTGTATGTTGTATGTGTTGTTTGTGAGGACTTTACTTACTTTAAAGATGTGCTGTATGTTGTTTGAGTGGACTTTACTTAGTTTAAAGATGTGCTGTATGTTGTATGTGAGGACTTTACTTACTTTAAAGATGTGCTGTATGTTGTATGTGTTGTTTGAGAGGACTTTACTTACTTTAAAGATGTGCTGTATGTTGTATGTGTTGTTTGAGTGGACTTTACTTACTTTAAAGATGTGCTGTATGTTGTATGTGTTGTTTGAGAGGACTTTACTTACTTTAAAGATGTGCTGTATGTTGTATGTGTTGTATGTGTGGACTTAACTTAGTTTAAAGATGTGCTGTATGTTGTATGTGTTGTTTGAGAGGACTTTACTTACTTTAAAGATGTGTTGTATGTTGTATGAGAGGACTTTACTTACTTTAAAGATGTGCTGTATGTTGTATGAGAGGACTTTACTTACTTTAAAGATGTGCTGTATGTTGTATGTGAGGACTTTACTTACTTTAAAGATGTGCTGTATGTTGTATGTGTTGTTTGAGTGGACTTTACTTACTTTAAAGATGTGTTGTATGTTGTATGTGTTGTTTGAGAGGACTTTACTTACTTTAAAGATGTGCTGTATGTTGTATGTGTTGTTTGAGTGGACTTTACTTACTTTAAAGATGTGCTGTATGTTGTATGTGTTGTATGAGAGGACTTTACTTACTTTAAAGATGTGCTGTATGTTGTATGTGTTGTTTGAGGACTTTACTTACTTTAAAGATGTGCTGTATGTTGTATGTTGTATGTGAGGACTTTACTTACTTTAAAGATGTGCTGTATGTTGTATGTGTTGTATGTGTGGACTTTACTTACTTTAAAGATGTGCTGTATGTTGTATGTGTTGTATGAGGACTTTACTTACTTTAAAGATGTGTTGTATGTTGTATGTGAGGACTTTACTTACTTTAAAGATGTGCTGTATGTTGTATGTGTTGTTTGAGAGGACTTTACTTACTTTAAAGATGTGTTGTATGTTGTATGTGTTGTATGAGGACTTTACTTACTTTAAAGATGTGTTGTATGTTGTATGTGAGGACTTTACTTACTTTAAAGATGTGCTGTATGTTGTATGTGTTGTATGTGTGGACTTTACTTACTTTAAAGATGTGCTGTATGTTGTATGTGTTGTATGAGGACTTTACTTACTTTAAAGATGTGCTGTATGTTGTATGTGTTGTATGAGAGGACTTTACTTACTTTAAAGATGTGCTGTATGTTGTATGTGAGGACTTTACTTACTTTAAAGATG